GTCTCGCTAGCTTTTTAAACAACTTCGATACTTCACCTTATCTAAGAGCTACTAATTCTAGAAATGATTACATTTCGCTATGAATAGTGAATATTAAGAAAATAACTTTGACAAAATAATTTTTTATTCTTTCTCATCTGTTTTTTTTTCTTTTTCTTCAAATTCAACTTGACATCTCCTTCAAGAAATGTTGCAAATATTTTAAAACCATCTTTAAAATGTGTTAACTCGAATTAAAAAACAAAACAATTTATATACGGATTATCCATATCGAAATGCAATCGCTGCGAGAATTGATAGCTCGTAGATTAACTAAAACATCTAAGAAAGATACCTAGACGTAAGACGCTTCTCTTATTGGTAATCAAAAGGGAGTAAAACGATCGAGTATCTAAAAGTAGTCATCTGTCAAACTTGCAACGTTTAAGTTAGCGACTAATCAACCGTCTCGAATTAGGTCAAACGGTTTTGTATTAATGGACGAGCTGTCTTTTCTATACACTATATGTCTTGTTTTTTAGAGTATATCTATTTTTTCCTTCTTTCTCATCGTATTCAACAATGAAATGTTGCTTTTCAATTGTATTGCTAGTGGTGACTGTGATTGTTTGTGCTACGAAAAGTGAAGCCCAAAGAGTGATATCTGAAAAATATCCACTTGATGGAGATTTCAACAATATTAGAGCATCTGCACACATCGAATTCGAATTGACCCACGTCAATAGTGAACCAAGTGTCATTATCGAAACGGAAGAATGGGTGCATACAAGTCGCTATATAACTGTTTCAACAAGACCGAATGATTGTTTGTATTCATGATTTGAAGAATATTTTCTGATTTTATTCATAACTTCTAACCCCCTTTCTGAATATCAAGTAGAAACACTTTGTATATGCAAAGATCAAACGAACTTTTTGAATATACTCTATATGAACAAAAGGATAGCTGAACAAAGAGAAATATTGATTTAATAGATCTTTTGAGCATATTTGCTAGTCCAGTCTCATCTTAATGTATTACAAGCAAAGAAAAACTTTCATTGTTACCTTTTATTCTAAAGACACTTTATTAAAAAAAAAAGAAATACATTAATGTGAACACAATCTCTTTATTTAACTAAGTAAAAGACATCGAGAAAGTGATCATTATCATCAATCCTTGTCTAAAATGAAGAAATTTGAATTGTTTCAGTTTTGTTTGACAGATCTTGATATCAAATTGGTGGGTGGCATCAATTATCCAGCAATCAAAGTGTATGTTAATTACCGCACACCTTTGGTTAGTTTGGAAATAGATGGAACATCGTCAATGAGATCAACAAACGTCGTTGTTAGTAATCCTTCATCGCTTTTGAATGTTGCACATTCTGGAACTGGCACCGTAATACTCGAACTTCAGCACGACTCTAATATTAATGTTGCCATATCGGGTACAGGTCAACTCATTTTATCTGGTCGAGTTCGAGGGAATGGACGATTGAGTATCTCAGGCACTGCGCATTTGGATGCACTCACATGTCCAATGAAAATTGTGACTGTTGAAATGTCTGGAACTGGATTAGCTAGGGTTTATGGTATAGAAGGAGTTCATGTTACCATGAGCGGAGTTGGTACCATTTGTTATCGAGGACCTTTGCTCAGTCAAGTAATAAATGGTCTTGGTTCGATCAGAGAGTGTATTCTTGAACAGACGTCTGAAAAACCGCCATATTCATCATCGCAAAGTGACAAAATCATGGATAGAAATCAACGATTAATGGTGATTCTTGCTACTACAGTTTTCTTTCTCTTCTTCTAACTTATCATTAATTGACATCATTGTTTTTCTTTTCAATTCATAATCCATGACCCTATAAAGTATGCCTTTCCCGCAAGAAAATCTTCTTGCACTCCTTTGAATAAGATCATGTTCGTTTCTTAGACAACAACATGAGATATAAGAATAAACCTTGTTTTAATAATATAATAAAGTTTTACGGCTAGTGTGTGGAGTGTGGGTGTGGATGTGTGACAACAGAATTAGCCACACTCACAACCTTACTCCACACCCACACTCACATCCGTACCCCACACCCACACCCTTATGAAGACAAGATCGATACTCACACACTCACCCACATCCACATCCACACCCTCAAATTACCTAAATACTGGACGTTTTGCATTGACATTCCCAATGGATGCATTTGGTTTTAATTGGATACTTTCTTTTACAGCTTGAATATATTCTATTGTTGTTACTGTCGTATGAAGTGCATGTGATCTTAATAAGTCATTTACCGTCTTTTATCAGTATTCATGTAACTTTAAACTGTAAAAAGTCTTTGACGTTGTAAAATGGGGTGAATTTGTGAAATATTCCTTATGTACTGTAAAGATGATTATTATCTTTATTTATGTATCAAAAGATTAAATAGAATGCAAAATTTATTTATTTCTCGTTTGAATTGAGTAGAAAAAAACTCATATTTGATCGAAATGATTTATTAATCTAATATATTCTTAGAAAAAAAGAATAATAATTTACATACAAGTCTGGACTTATTTATTTATTTATTTATTTGTTTACACCTATTCAGAAAGCAAAATGGACTCATTCTCATCATGTTTTTCTATCGAGATCAGCTAAAGATCGATTTTAAATTCGGATTCCATATCATCGATCATTTTTAATCAAATTTTTGAGATGATTATCTTTTTTTTTCTCTTGTATTATTGTTGAACTTTTCTCTATGAGAACGAGAACTATTTTACACTGTTTAATACAAGTAACACATATCGGTCAGGAATGAATGAAAGAAGCAAGGAACAAAGAATATATGTGTTTATTCAAACATGCGACAAATAATGGCAAATGATTGTTCGGGGTCACTAGTCTGAATGAACTTTTTGTCGTTATTGATCTTGGCCAGTACTTGTGTGGAATGAGCACACGATCAATACATATATATAAGGATAGAACGGAAAAAATATTTAGTTCAATAGTAGTGTACTTCTTATCCACTACATATTTTTTCGTTCTATCCTTGTATAGATATATATATTGATGGTGTGCTCATTCCGTACATGCACCAGGTAATCCATCAATGCTCACTTCTATCTTTCTTTTTTTTTTGTTGATTATTTGACCTCTATGCTCATATACATATCTGATCTCGGTTAGATATAAATCATCGGATTACTAGATATAGTTCAAAATATCATTGGACGATGACTATAGTTTTTTTTCTTATGAATTATTATGTTTCGCATAGATTTGCTGAAACTATGCATTAACTATAACGTTATTATATTCTTTTGTTTCATCTTCTATATATACATAATTTATTGAGATTATTTATTCAATTGATGAAATAAGTTGTAATATTTTATGAGTCAAATTTGAGTGAGCATACGGATGTTTATTTATTTATTTTTTTTTGCTAGGTAATATGGAATTTTCCAAAAGTGATATGAAACAATTTAACAACGAAAACATAAAAAAATTAGAATGTAAATTTAAACAACAAACGTAAGTTATTAATAAAAGAAATATATATTTTTTTTTTATATTAGATTTTCATATATATAGATTATCAATAACAACTATTGAAGATTTTTCTAATGAATTATTTTTTCAAATATTTGATTATTTAGATGGTTGTGAAATATATTATGGATTTATGAATCTTAATAAACGTTTTCAAGAATTACTTAATTCTTCATTACTTTTATTTAAAATTAATTTCGATAATAAATTCTTTATGAATATTTGTAAACAAATAATGACATTGAATAAACATCAAATATTTTCTATTAATTCTTGTAAACCATTATCAATGAATAGATTTTTTTCATCATTTTCATTTGATTCATCCTTTAAACAACTTGAATCACTTGTTCTTTATGAATCTCAATCAAATATATTAATTCCATTTCTCAATAATTTATCTTATTTACCACGTTTATTTTCATTAACTCTTTATTTATTAGAAGGTTTAACAAATCTAGTTGATATTTATAAAATTATTTTAAAATTATCAATGTTAAAATATTTAGTTATAATAACGAAGGATTCAAATTTATTAAATTCATTATCTATTAATATAGATCAACAATTTAATAATATTACACATCTTTATATTAAAAATCATTGTAGTTTTAATGATATTTTAATTTTAATGTCATATACACCTCAACTTCATCATATATGTTATTCAAATATGAATTGTATTACTACAAATATTAAAAATATATCTCCAATTAAATTATCAAAATTAAAACGTTTTTTTCTCTGTATAAATGGTATAAAATTTGATACATTTGAAATATTTCTTAGTAAAATTGATTCAAAAATAGAAATTTTATCTTTTACTACTCGATATGAAGATATGACTTATCTTGATGCTAATCGATGGCAAAGTCTTATTTTAAATAAATTATCTTATTTAAAAATATTTGATTTAAACTATTATGTAAGTTTTCAAAATGGTTTTGAAAATCGACTTTATCATGGTAAATCAAATCAGTTTTCTTCATCATTTTGGATTGAACGAAAATGGATATGTGAAATTCGAAAAGAATATGGAGGTATTATGTACTTAATTTATCCATATAAGTATATGAATAACAATTTTTTTTCTTAAAAAAAAAATAAATTATTTTTTTTGATTCTTTATAGAACAAGATGGGATGAACTTATTCTTGATGAGACTGTCAATTTTTCTCCAGTCATGACTAAATCAACTCAATTAATTTTGAATGATATATGTGCAAAACAATGGCGAAATATTATTCATGTAACTATTCGACATGCTTTAGCTCTAGCAGAAATTTATCATTTAACTATTTCTGTAAAAAAAGTATTTTTTGGTATATTAATTCCAATATTAAATTCTTTACCAAAACTTTGTTCATTAAAACTTCATTCTTTATCATTTGGTGATCCAGAAGGAATGAATCCAAAAGATTATAAATTTTTTTTTTCAATGAAACCTAAAAGTAAAATAACAAAAGTCTATCTTGAAAGGATGGATACAGATGGTGAGATTTTTTTCTTAAGGGCACTTTGTCCTTATATGAAATATTTCAAAGTTGATTGCATAAAAGGTAAAATTAATGAAGTACCTTCTCAACAAATTTGTTTCGAATAAAATAATTAATTATGTTCTAGATAATCATTTTTTTTGTAGTGTAAATAATTGTTGTAACGAATTTTTTAATAAAAATTCATTAATTTTCGTCATTCAAATAGAATTAAAAAGATTTCGTATGTTTATCAGAATTTATTAAGTAAAGAAAAAAGAAATTTGCAGAGACTTTTTTTGATGATACTGTTGAGCTTTCGGAATAGATCGATATTTGAATTTATCGACGTTTGGTTGTCTTGATCAAGCTGATTGCGGTTCTTCTAAAATTTGTTCTTGTTTTGCTTACCTTTTGATAATAGAATTAATTCTTGTTCGAATTTTGATGGTTCTTCTGATTTTAATAGTACGTCTAAGGGTAATAGCGACACAGCAATTATATTTAGATCGATGTATCATAAGATTAATTAAATAAGGAATACGATTAAGTTGTTGTTGTTGTTGAGTAAGATGAACAATTTTATTAGATGTACCAAAACGAAATACATACGTCATTGTTGTATTTGAATCAGTTATATCAAATGCTTCAGCCATTGATAAACATCGATTTGATCAAATAATTAACTATTTTCTTCTTACGAGCAATGTTTTTTATACAACGAAGAAAGATAAGACGAATTTGAAATATGAGTCGTAGTCAAGGGGGAAAAAGCGAGACTTCATCTACTTCAAAAAAATTTGAAGTACGGGTGAAGTACGAGTGAAGTACCGGTGAAGTACGAGTGAAGTACCAGTGAAGTACGAGTGAAGTACGGGTGAAGTACCATGAAGTACGAGTGAAGTACGGGTGAAGTACGGTGAAGTACGAGTGAAGTACCAGTGAAGTACGAGTGAAGTAACAGTGAAGTACGAGTGAAGTACGGTGAAGTACAGTGAAGTACAAGTGAAGTACAATTGAAGTACAGGAAAGTATACTGAAGACAGTTAGAGTATGGTGACGCGTAAATTTTCTTTCACATTGAATACTAATATAATTCCCTCGACTGAAGAGAGGGTCATATGAAAAAAAATAGTTTGTTTACTTGTTTGTTTGCTTGTCGCAAGGTCAAAAAAATTTCAGGGTTAAAAGAACATCCACGGTCAATTTTTGTTAGATGTTCACGAAAGTAAATCGGGGTCGGAGAATTCGAATCTGAAGTCAGTTTCTCAAAATTTTGACTTGAGTTTTTAGGGTCAAGGAAAGGGTTTTTTGAGAAAATGAGGATATTTTATAAAGGTTGACGAAAGTAAATCGAGGTCGGAGAATCCGAATCTGAAGTCAGCTTTTCGAAATTTTGAATTGATTTTTTAGGGTCAAGGGAAGGGTTTTTTCAGAAAATGAGGATATTTTATAAAGGTTGACGAAAGTAAATCGGGGTGTGGGTGTGGGTGTGGGTGTGGATGTGAGTGCGGTGTGGATGTGCTTGTGAGAAAAGAACAGGATACACATGCACATCCACACCTACCCACACCCACACCCCACACCCACACCCACACCCCACACCCACCCCGTTCTTAAAGTCAAATTTCCATTTCAACCATTGAATATATTTCTTCTCTCTATTATTCGCGATAAACTCAGATAATGGTCGTTTTCCAGTCCTTCACATGAAAATCAAGCATTTAACCAGTGTGTATCTTTGAGTTGGCGACTCACAGCTGAATCATTCCCATCAACACTAAAGAAAATCACACCTGGTGCTTTCTCTCATCACTTACTTCAATCTCTGTCCCCCGTTAGTTTATCATCATTTTACTTTTCGGCCTTAAGCCATCATGAGAATATTTTTAATATCGATTGTTTGTCTTCTGGTTGCTTCATATACTGACACTCATCCCACTGATGGTCTTTCTCGTACTTTTTCTGAACAGTTTGATTCTCCGTTGCTGAACACCAGTATTTGGAATTATGGATATCCATGGGGTTCTTACTATAATAATCGAGCTAACACCATTCCTCGTCAAGTTAAAGTGACGCCTGAAGGGTATCTTAACATCACGGCTATACGTGAACGATCAATCATTCTTGGCATCTATACCGAGTTTGGTCCAATCGATCTGGACTTCTCCTCGGGTGCCGTGAATACAAACGGCAAATTTTGTATAAAGAACGGCTATGTTGAAGTGAGCTTGCGAGCATCGAATGTTCAAAGTACATGGCCATCGGTGTTTCTTGTCGCTCAAGATCAGACCACCGTGCCGATGATTACATTAATGGAAGTCTTCGATTCACGCTCGCGCTTTACGTACGGATTCAGGTACGCAAATGATCAAACGGCAGCTGAAGAAGTAACCCATACAGCCGATAATCGAGAAACGAGTAATATTTTACACCGCTTTGGAGTGGACTGGGGTTATGATCAAATAACATGGTACTATGACGACAATTGGGTCAATACAATTGTCAAATCACATGAGCTAAGTCAAGTCGACAATATGTGTTTGGTTATTAGCTTGGGTGTGGGTGGGAAATCGAAAGAAACTCCTATTGATCCTCGAACTTATCCGACAATAATGAGTGTTGATTGGGTTGAAATGTGGCAGCCGAAATATGACGGATTTTACAAATTCGAAAATGTTCATACAGGGTTTTTGATGGAGATCGAGGGTGCATCAACAACTGAGAGAGCTAGAGTTTTGCAGTGGCCCGACAATGGCGGCGATTGGCAAGTAAGTAAAGAAATAATGCCTTCAAATTCAAACATATATCTGCCTACTATTGATTGAAAAATGTAACAGAAATAATTCGAATTCTTTTATAGAAGTGGCACGTTCAATATTCAGGTCATGGTCAGTATCGGCTGCTTGCAGCTCACAGTCGTCAAGCCTTAGATGCGTACGGATGGCAGACGAATAATGGAGCGCCATTGATTCAAGCAGCTTATCATGCTGGTGATAATCAGTTGTGGAAAATAAATGAAGTAGATGGAGCACCTGGAGTAGTCCAACTGATCAGTGTTCACTCATTGAATCAACCAGGTCCAGCAAAATTAGTATCAGTTCCATCAAGTTCCACCGCAGCAGGTATACAATTACACTTGTGGGAAGAAGTGAACAATGCTGATCAGAAATGGAAAATGATTCGACTTTGAGATGCTAAAAATGAGAGATTTATTTTGTTCTGTACTATCAAAAATATATTCAATCAAAAAATATATCAATTAAAGTACATATTATTCCGAT